TGTGCAAGCTTTGTAATACAAAGTAGTACTGGAATGTGTTTTGTGCAAGCTTTGTAGTACAAAGTGCTACTGGGAAGTTCTTTTTGCAAGCTTTGTAGTACAAAGTAATAATGGGAAGTAGTTTGTGCAAGCTTGGTAGTATAGAGTGGTATTGGGAAGTACTTTGTGCAAGCTTTGTAGTACACAGTAGTACTGGGAAGTAGTTTGTGCAAGCTTTGTAATATAAAATAGTACTGGGAAGTGCTTTGTGCAAAGTTTGTATTACAAAGTAGTACTGGGAAGTAGTTAGTGCAAGCTTTGTAGTACAAAGTAGTACTGGAATGTGTTTTGTGCAAGCTTTGTAGTACACAGAAGCACTGGGAAGTAGTTTGTGCAAGTTTTGTAGTACAAAGTAGTACTGGGAAGTAGTTTGTGCAAGCTTTGTAGTTCAAAGTGGTATTGGGAAATACTTTGTGCAAGCTTTGTAGTGCAAAGTAGTATTGGGAAATATTTTTGCCAGCTTTGTAGTACAAAATAGTACTGGAAGGTGTTTTGTGCAAGCTTTAGTGTGAAGTGTGTAGGTGGAGTGTGATGAGTGCAGCGAGAAGTGTGAAGTGCGAAGTGGAGCTTCACATGTGACATGTGAAATGGGACACCATTTTCCCAGAATGCACGCACGCACGGGCTTGGCTGGCGCACGGCGCATGCAAATTCTATAGATAAAAAAGGTCTTATATATTTATATATATATATACCCCTAAGGCAACTTCCGCCCCGCCTCGTGCGGGGACTACTGGTATATATATATAGTACTAAAAAAATCGATATCGCCCAATTTATAAAATAAATATTAAATATTTATTAATCATATTTTTTAAATATCAATAATATTCATATTATATATATATATATTTAAATAATAATTTTATTAATATTTAATTAATTTTTATTTAAATTATTCTGATCAAATTAATATTATATATAAAAACATATATTAATTAGAATAAAGAAAACATCAAAGAACTATTTATCTAATTATATACTTCTATAATAAAATATATGTCAAGGGGTGCCTGGAGGGGTTGTCAAAATGACGTCCCTTTATTTCTAAGGTATTTTTCAATCTGTTTTGGGTTACCTGCGATATATATTTGGTTTTTATTATTTGAGGATACGGAAGTAATGTTCTTTTTTTGGGGCACCCCAAAAATGGCGCTTATCTGTCGGGGGGATGTGTACGGGGTGCCAAAATGCCACCACTTTAGGCTAAGGGGTGTCGTTTTTGCACCCCTTAATACGTGTCGGCAGGGTGTCACTACCAAGGAATCGCGTATTATTTATATATCGAATTTTCCCAAAATCAAATTTTTGTATTTCAATTTTATTTCCAGCCATTTCTCCCAAAAATAATGCTATCAATATCGTTATTGCCATATTATATTATTTTAATTTGATTAAGGGATGTCGAAATTTAGTCCCTTAAAATATATTCGATAGGGAAATACCAATATTTAGATTGCTAAGATATCGTTTATATATATTTAGATTACTTATTTTTAATGTAAAATTCCAATAATTGTACAGATTTCAATAATATTACCGAAATATAAATAAATTCATTTCAATATTTACATTTATATTACGGCGTTCATATAATTATTATACACTTAATTCCCAAATTTAGATCTATATAATTTTCTAAGAAGCTCCGCCAAACTTCCGCGAATCTATATAAACCTTTCGCATATCTATACGAGCCTTTCATAAATCTATACGAAATTTTCGCGAACCTATACAAGACTTTCACAAGGCTCACAAATAAACATAAAACCCAAAACGAATAATATAAAAATACGTTCTCCCCTTAAAAATTACAATCAATAAAACATCACAAATCCAATTCCATTCCGGAATATTATTGGCTTTCACCAAATAAATCCAACCAAACATATATAATTATATTTTATATATATATGAGTACCGGGCATGAGTCACATCAGACGGGAAAAATCACATTATCCCCATGGCACGGCGGCGATACAGAAAGTCACATCAGGTAGTGGAAAATCACATCAGGGAAGAAGAATTATTATGGCAGAACCTCTTTCATCCAATTTAGTTAAAAGTAATCGAAACATTGCGCACAGTGATAATTTTGAAGGGTACAAATTAATACAAACAAATTCTCGGCAGCTAATCCTATTGGATTTAAATATATTATATTGATATTCTGTATCGCATGACCAAATCAAACCCTCTATTGCGCCGTCTTGCGAAATAGTAGGAAAGGATGCAAATAATAAGTACAACGAAACAACCGCATCAAACGACCGCAATGTATTATCAACCAGAAATATTTCCTCTCTGTGCTAGTGTGTCCCGTCCGTACCTCCCGTTAGCGCGAAATAAGGCGACCGAGACTGTTATTTTCTTTTTCGGCAAAATATTCATACTAGCGGCAGCAACAGCAGGAAGAAGCAGCAACAGCAGGGAAGCAGCAACCAGCATTTGCCCGCTTGAAAGAATAATAAAATATAGGGTGGAAAAAAAAAGTATTATAAACATTATTTTTTTTTCCAGGTACACGACCCCAAAACAATAAAATTATTTTATTACTAAAGATTGTGGTAATGTCATTTTTTTTTACTTAACCCGAATACTTATATATATATATAAACCATAAAAAATATCCAAAAAACAATAAAAACCAATAAACATATTTATCAATAAATTTCAAATATTAATAATAAAATATACCATAACTTACACAACCACAAAATCACAACTCAATTTACTATAATAATTATAGATTACGCATAATTAATACATTTTTAGATAACAAATACGACTTAAATTACTAACCCAATATTTACATATTTAAAATTAACATTTACTATAACTCAATATATTATTATTAAAAAACTAAAAACTAATGTAAATATAATATATTAAATTTTTCATTTAATTATTTCTAAATATATAATAATTTATCTATTTATTACGCAAGTAATTGTAGGCAGCTGTGCGCAAA